CTGTAAGCTGCATTATGCAACGTGGGTGTTTTTATCGTACTACTTCATCTCACATGCGCCATTTTCATACCCAAACACTTTTTTTCTTCCTTCTCTTATTTGTCACACCGTTCTGTAAGTAATCAAGATAAAAGATAAGAGTAGAAGCCTTGAAAGAAAAACAAGCCATTACTACGTAAAGGGCATCTGCGTTTTATTTAGAGTATGGATGCCGTTATACAAAGTCAAGTCGATATTTCAAATGAAGAATCGCTTAGATTGGTATTAAGTTTTTTGGTGAGTCCTTCAATCTCGAACGTAATTGTGAGATAGAAAACATCTTCATTTGATAGAAACTACATCTTCCAGAATCGATTCGACTATGGCAATTACTTGATTATGTACAACGAGGCTTTATCACAAAGGAACATATTTGGCCACATAAATTATTTGTTGATGATCAAGACCAAATAAAATGTGTACTACTAGTGTATTTTGTAATCGGTTTCACGATTGATCATCGTCTATTAGATGAGAAGCAAGAAATAAGTAAAATATATGTTTCCTTTTTTGTCATCCAGAGAACGATCATATACTTATGGCTCTACTGGAACGATGTGTTCCATGGAATCAAGTAAAAACAATTGTGTTTTTAAACAATGATTATCGATTCTCGACTATGATCGAAACTTTTATTCGAGAGAAAAAATTAGGTGATTTGACTGTACATTCTGCCTTACAAATGGAAATTGACCGAGAAACGCTAGAAATGTCGAAAGTGAAAATTATGCAATACATTCCAACAGGTAGATAAAAGAAATCAGAGCATGTTTCCCTAAAATGACATGTGTTAAATGTTTGAAAAAATGACTGATTTATATATACATACAATCATTCTTTTGAAGAAGCACGACATAGTTCAATGAGGAATATGTGCGCTGGTTTTTGAAGCCTCGACAATAAGACTATTCTGATATAAAAAATTTTCTAGACATCACTATTCGACGTTTGTCAGTACACGATGCTTCATTAATTAATGATCACTGGACATATAGATCGATGCTGTCGCTAGGTCTAATTCAGTACGAAATCGAACATTTCCCAGCATTTGGTTAGTTTTTGATGAAAAAATTTCAAATTATATTCATGTCAATAAGAGTTCTTCTTAATGTTTTGTAGGTGCATATCATAATGAACAGTTAGTGAGTTGGTCTTTGACACGATTTGATAGTTCTTTTGGAATCATGTTTACACTTCCTGAATATCGTCGGCTTGGTCTCGCATCACTAGTGAATGTACACTTGGCTTCAGATTTGTTCAACTTGCAAGAACGCGTTTTTTGTTATGTGTTCAACGAAAATGATTTATCGCGTAAAACGCTTGAAAAGTTGGGCTATCGACCAACATCTAAAGTTACTTTGGCTTACCTCATCTCGAAATAAAAAGACACAAAAAGAATAAATAATGGAGTTATTTTTGATCGAATAAATGATTGAAATGTCGATGAGCGTAGCTGAACAAGGCTTTTTGCAATCTGTCGAAACTCTTATAGCATAATCCATGAATCTTCCAAATCTGTTATGTTTCCAAGTCAAAAATAGCGCCACTGTTCTCGACTTGACTCCTTTATTGAGTAAGCAGTGACAATATTTATATCATCTAAAAGCTATTTATTGGTTTTTCACTAATTCGTGAGTTTCAAATATGTCAGGAATCCGAGCATCTTCGACGTCGTTTCATCGTATTTTTAAGAATGTGGTCAGCTTGAGATGATCTTACTGCATAGAAAAAGTAAACAATTTTTGCAAACAATAAACTACATTTTCAACAGAAGAGTCACACAGGGATGTCTGCCGATGTGCGTGAAGAACGGGTTCACACTCACATTCACACTCTAAGGAATTATTTCTCATCACTGTGATCCTTTTTACTTTTCCTGCAAAGTGAAAATGTGAGGTTTTTCTGAACAATCTTGTTTATTTTTGTAATTAGTACTTCGTTATCTTTTGTGTCTCATTTAAGAAACATTGTCAAATTTTTTTTTCTACAGCTTACTTTACTCGAAGAGACACACATCATGACTCTCCATAATAAAGGGTGTGGGATGTGGGTGTGTGGCTGGGGGTGTGGGTGTGATTGGGGCGTGGGTGTGGATGTTGGTATGAGTGTAGATATTCACTGCTGAGACGCATAGATCTACCTCACACCGTCACATCTCAAAACCAACATCCACTCCTACGCCCCCACCCCACACTCGCACTCACACCCTAACTGTCAAACCCTCATACATGATTTCAAGATATCTACTTTAACTTTGATTTTTGTAAAGTTAAAATGTTACAATGGGCCACTTGAACTCGAACTCTTAAAGTTTAAAGCATCACTTTAACTGTAGCTTTTAAAGTAAAGTTAAAGCGCCATGCCTATTATTGATGATGTTCATAGGTTGTGAATACATTCATCAGCTAATTGGCGAATTCCAAAGTAGAAAAGAAAATAGTTTGTTATTTTGAAATTAAGAAAAAACGAAATCATTAGGATATGAATGTGAATGTTTGTCTTCGTATGACCCATACTCAACCTTTCCCACCCTTTTCTGTACGCAAATCAACTAAAATCGGTGATCAATTCCCAAGTAGCCATTCTCAATCAGAAAAGAAAAAAATTGGAAATGACACCCTTTATAAAGATACAGTCAGCTGTCTAAAGAAGAACTCATCGTTTTATATGACATGTTAACATTGATTGCATGATACACCTTAGTAAGTTGAATAATTTCACGAAGGAATCAATTTTTCTGAAGAAAAAAGAATTAGCAGCTCTATCATTATCAAAAACTATCGATTGACAAATAGTCGTGAAGAGAAATTTTTTTACGAAATAAATGAATACGATTTTGTCCCACTCTAACACTTAAACTTGGGGATTTGTCGAAGGCAACGACAAATGAAGGGTATCGTTATCGAAATGTTTTCATTTACATTGCTCGCCTCGATCTTGATTTGTTCAAAAGACAAGGGTGGATATCCTAGCATAATAGGTCCTATTAGAAAAGTATTTAAGAAAACACTTTCAACTAAGAAAAAATTCTTCTTCCTTCAATGCTACAACATTCTCAATGCATAAAAACAATTTTCATTAACAATTCGTAGTTCACTGCTTGACATAAGCAAACAGCCGACTAACAGGAGATTTATACCTGTGTTCGCAGCATCGAATGTCCATCATAGTACGTTTCACTCACACATTGTATGAATAGAAAACCGCTATCTTTTCAAGGTAGATGCAACTTTTGAAGAGCTAGTAAATGATGCTAAAATATGCAAAGAAATATGCTCCTATCAAAATTTTTCAAAGACCAAACTGCCTCAACCCTATGGAAAGGATCTTACTGGAACCTGTTAGCATTTAGAAACCTTGAACAGAAGCTAGATGCTACATATTCTTGCTTTGTGACTAAAGTTTGGAGAATTACTAATTAGTGTGATGCTTGATATATTGTAACTAGTCACTGCTAGTATTCTATTGGTGACGGTTTGGTAAGAACTTTTATTGTATTGGAGGAAGAGCTAATCAGGAAATGCATATGAAGTTATGATTTTGGAAAAGAAACGGAGAGGCTTTGGGGTTGCGTATGAAGAAAGATTCGTGTAGCCTATTGTGTATATGTTCAAATTGTTTGGTCTGTTCGATTTGATTCTACAGCATATATCGCGATATCTTCCAGATAGTTTTTTTTGCTATTCAGGATCACAAGTTATCTCTCAAAGGAATCTGCGTCGGTTTTTCACAGCTCCTTCTGGTCCCACGAAACATGCTCTATGTAATATATCATGCTGAATCCTTTGCGCCCCCTATAAGTCCTTTTTTTTATTCTCAACCCCTTACGCTTATTCATAAATAGGTATCTTTATATCTATGCCGTACACCTTGATTCAATGGATAGACCACTTTTTCGATTCTTAAGTCTTTATGCTATCAGCAATGCGGTATGATATCAAATAATCACTTTCACCTTTTTCTAAAACATTCGTTTTCAATCGCTTAGTAAGCTTCTTTTTTGAGACACATTAAGTTTCAAAACTATCATTTCATTCTCTCTGACAACTTTCCTATGACTCTTGATCAATCAAAGAAGTAAGGATTTCCCGGTGCTCACAACCAACTCACATCTACAGGTAATGTGTCCATAATCTTTTTCTTCACATCCTCGCAATCAATGATTATATAGAAATAATCATACGAGTACGTGACATGCAAGAATTTAAAACTTCATTCAAGAAGTTCATTGGTTACCGAAGTACCTCAACATCTCGTCACTCAATTACATTCACCTTTGAATGAAAAACAAATGAAATAAATTGTTTCCTACGAGCAAATAGTCATTCAGTAGAGTTCAATTTTTATTCTTCAGGAGTACGAATGATGCCGTTTTACACATATCTCAGTGAGAAAGATCAACACAAATAATTCTAGAATAACTAATACTAATTAGAGCTAGTGAACGTTTTTCCCTATAGGACGTCGTTTTGACACGTACCGCTCTTGGAAGGAAATCTCCCAAGTTTCACCAATATGGCGAGATCTTTTTAAACCAGAACATGTTTTTCAGGATCGGTGCTACTAGGAAAAAAAAGAAAGATAATGAAAAACAATTTTTTCCATAAAAGTGTTATTTTCCCCATGAATTCACCCGATAATGTTGTTATGCATTACTAACTACGCAATAAATTTTAGCCCAAGGTCAAAAACAACGTTGTGTTGACTTTTATAAGAAAGAAGAGAAAGATAATAGAGATTGAAGAAAACGAACAAGAGTTCTTTCACAAAAGAAAGAACGAAAATTATAGAAAGAAACACAAGAACACACTAAATGAAATATTTAACAGAACAAAAGACAAGATAGATATTGTTATTCATATGTGTGTAAAACGAAAGAAAAGAACGAAAATATATAGATAACATATATAATATATTTTTATAGCACTTATAAAATATATGCCATCACAGATATACCGTATCTATAATTGAAAAAGTGCTTTCAGAAGTTTCGATACCATTTCATTTCCACCAGCCACCGTTAGTTTAGCTAATTTTGGAATTTCTGTAACAAGTCTTCCATCATTATCTTCCTCTTCGGCATTCGCTATTCTGTATGCTACTATTGGCGCAATATGTATCAACTCACTAATGGCTTCACGTTTACAACTTAGGTCTAAGTGTGAATATCTAAGAGTTGCCATAATTACTGGACGAGAAACACGTAGGATTAAAGTCTGGGTTTCGTATTTACATTTTTCTAATGATAAACGTGTCCGATATAAATCTTTTTCTTCAGGTGATATCTCATTTAGAATATCTTCCAGTTGGCAAACGTAATGATGATAGAAGTATTCCGCTAAATCGTTTGATGTTTTATCAACAATTTTCTCCAATTGAAATGATAATTTTTCACGTTGTTCATTATCAGGCAGGTGGGAATTTAATTGTAATTTTGTATAGCCGTAAGTTTGAGACATAATTTGTGCAATGGGATGTTTCGATTGCATGAATTCCTCTGTCAATTCAAGAAAGCGATCATGAAATATTTTCTTAGCATTTTCAATGAATTCTGATCGATTTTGTGTTATTGTTGTGGTATGCCAATCATTGGCTTTTGCAAATGTTGGATTGAAACGTTCATCATAATAATACTGATCCCAATTTTCAGTATTCTGTACTTTTATATATTCGTCAATTGACATAACAGCTAAATTATCTGGTAATAATTCTTTGTTTTACTTTTGCAAGACATTCGACAACAAAACGAAATAACTTCGTTCTACCTAAATCAATCAGCTGCTTCATATGTGTTTTTTGTAATTCATATTGAATAAATACATTCAGTGCTTCTTTACTTTTTTTAAAGCCCTCTCGTAGATCTCCAAAACTACGAATCTTTTCATTTATAACTTGATATTCTTCAGAATTACTTTCCAAGAGTTCAATGCGTGGACATGCAGAAAAAATCTGTTCAGGATTGAAATGTTTATCGACCAGTTCACCTTTAGCTTTCTCATAATGATCTTGATAGATTGCTGATGTTTGACACAAGTCCAATTTCGTTATAATGCCAAAAGCGCGTTGCATAGCTTCATAATGATATGATTGAATTTCATGCAAGAGATTCATTTGTGGTTGAGTTAAACTTGGTGATTGACCACTGGTGAGAAAAAGGAATGCATCAGCCATGGCGATTGCATGTAGCCCAGCATCACGATGTTCCTTAATTGGTGAATCAAAACCAGGTACATCCAATAATTCATAGTTTTCACCTGTAAAAGAAAAGGATATATTGTAATCATGTGAAAAAGGAAGGCTTTTATTAAGTGAGAGAAGTACACATGCACATTACCTGTAAGTTTATCTGTATATATAATGATTTCTTTAATAATATTAACGTACAATTCTCCTTTTATATAATTATGTAGTTGACCAATCATTTTTTGCCGCTCAGTTTCTATAGACTGTGGATCACGTGCTGTGATGTCAAAATGTTCTTGTGGAGATTTTCTTTTGAAGTTTTCATGTTCCTGAATCACATCTCGTTTTCTTGCCTGAAATTTTTCGTCATCGTCATCGGTTTTCTTTACCATTTTATTAATATAAGTTGTAAATTCTTGATCATTATAATAAGTAATAGTTGCAAGCCGTTGCAAATGGTTTGGCAATATTGGTTTCAGCACAGTACGTATTTGCGTACAACGTTCACTAGCTGTTGGCAGCAGTTGCCGAGGATGGCATAGTGGTTCTATGCATCTGACTATTAGTCAGACATCAGAAGGTTCGATTCCTTCCCTCGGCATGGTATGTGACCTCGATTTTAAAT